TTTCGTAAATATTTTCTACAGCCCTAAAAGTTTACAAAAAAAAACAAAACTATAGTAATCGAAATGTTGCTTTTTTTTAAAAACAACTATCAAGTGTTTACATAATCAGTGTTTCTTTTTCACGAGAAATCTTCAGGTGAACTATTAACTATTTCGAATGATTCTCATTTCCCGTAATGATGATTATAATCTTCATTTAAAAAGAATGAAAAGACGTCGTACGATATAGTTAATTTTTGTTTATGGTATAGATGTTAGCACCATCTATGAGAAAATAATTTATACAGAATATTTACCATTTTTTCTAGTAGAATAGTAAAATTCTATGTTTGAATAGCTGTAATTATTTTGGTTATGCATTTCAATTCTATTTCAAATATATTGATTACCTTACTTCAATTACCAATCATTTGATTACTCGTTTAAACAGCTGTATAATCAAATGGAGGGCGATGTAAATATCATCTTCATTAATAGGCGAATCGTTCTTCTTTACGTGGCATCCAGTACCAATTGCACATCTTCACATAGGCTAAGTGGATTACAAAAACCTGATCATAGTTATCGACTGACACGTATTTTAGAATAATATTATTTTGTTTTGTATATAAATAATACAAACAATTGCTTTGTTATTAATACATTATATTATTGCAGATAAACTTAAATCTCTTCTAGTTAATATTAACAATCATGTTTAAAGTCATATCATTAATTGTCGTTATATTGGCGACAATTGCTTTTGCCAAAGAAGATTCAAGTGGCAAGAAAAAAGAAGATGTTGGTACAGTAATTGGTATTGATCTTGGTGTAAGTTTTTGTTTTCAACAGAAGAAATTATTGATTTGATATTTTTTGTTTTTAGACAACATATTCATGTGTTGGTATATTTAAAAATGGTCGTGTAGAAATTATTGCTAATGATCAAGGCAATCGTATAACACCATCCTATGTTGCGTTTACTGCTGAAGGTGAACGTTTAATTGGTGATGCAGCTAAAAATCAATTAACATCAAATCCTGAAAATACAATTTTTGATGTAAAACGTCTTATTGGTCGAGAATTTAAAGATCCAAGTGTTCAATCTGATATAAAACATTTTCCATTTACTGTTGTTGAACGTAGATCTAAACCATCAATCGTTGTACAAGTTGGATCCGAACAAAAAAATTTCGAACCAGAAGAAATCTCTGCTATGGTACTTGGTAAAATGCGTGAAATAGCTGTAAGTTATTTTACATATATATATATATATATATATATTATCATTAATTATTATATCTATAGGAAGCTTATATTGGTCATAAAGTTACACATGCTGTTGTAACTGTACCAGCTTATTTTAATGATGCACAACGTCAAGCTACAAAAGATGCTGGAGTAATATCAGGTTTAAATGTAATGCGTATTATAAATGAACCAACTGCTGCTGCTATTGCTTATGGTCTTGATAAGAAAGAAGGAGAAAAAAATATATTAGTTTTTGATTTGGGTGGTGGTACATTTGATGTATCACTTTTAACAATTGATAATGGTGTATTTGAAGTTATTGCAACAAATGGTGATACACATTTAGGTGGTGAAGATTTTGATCAACGTGTTATGGAACATTTTATAAAATTATTTAAAAAGAAAACTGGTAAAGATGTACGAAAAGATAATCGTGCTGTACAAAAATTACGACGTGAAGTTGAAAAAGCTAAACGTACATTATCATCTCAACATCAAGCTAAAATTGAAATTGAATCATTTTATGATAATGAAGATTTTAGTGAAACATTAACACGTGCTAAATTTGAAGAATTAAACATGGATTTATTTCGTTCAACAATGAAACCAGTACAAAAAGTTTTAGAAGATGCTGATTTAAAAAAAACTGATATTGCTGAAGTTGTTCTTGTTGGTGGTTCAACACGTATACCTAAAGTTCAACAATTAGTTAAAGAATATTTTGATGGAAAAGAACCATCTCGTGGTATTAATCCTGATGAAGCCGTTGGTAAGTAGTTTTTTATTTTTAGTTTATTAATTTAATTTTTTTGTAAATTTATAGCTTATGGTGCTGCTGTTCAAGCTGGTGTACTTTCAGGTGAAGAAAATACTGGTGATCTTGTTTTACTTGACGTTAATCCATTAACTATGGGTATTGAAACAGTTGGTGGTGTCATGACAAAAATTATTCCACGTAATACAGTTATTCCAACAAAGAAAAGTCAAGTATTTTCAACAGCTGCTGATAATCAACCAGTTGTAACAATTCAAGTATATGAAGGTGAACGTCCAATGACAAAAGATAATCATCTTTTAGGTAAATTCGATCTTACTGGTATTCCACCAGCACCACGAGGTGTACCACAAATTGAAGTTACTTTTGAAATTGATGTTAATGGTATTCTTAAAGTAAGTTAATTATTTCTTAATAAGGAAAGAAAAAAATTTATAGTCATTATTTTTATTTAATAGGTTACTGCTGAAGATAAAGGAACAGGAAATAAAAATAATATTGTTATTAATTCAAATACAAATCGTTTATCACCAGAAGAAATTGAACGTATGATAAAAGATTCAGAAAGATTTGCTGAAGAAGATAAAAAAGTTAAAGATCGTGTTGATGCTAAAAATGAACTTGAATCATATGTTTATTCATTAAAAACACAAATAGCTGATAAAGATAAACTTGGTAGTAAATTATCATCGGATGATAAATCAACAATTGAAAAAGAAATTGAAGAAAAAATTAAATGGCTTGATGAAAATCAAGCAACAGCTGATGTTGATGATTTTAAAGCACAAAAGAAATCTATTGAGGATGTTGTTACTCCAATTATGACTAAACTTTATCAAGGACAACAACCACCGCCAGGTGATAATGCTCCACCAACTGGTGATGATGGAAACAAAGATGAATTGTAAACATCTTTTAATAAATAGAAAAAGGAAAATTTATCTTTTTAGTGTCATTAGTTTTATGTGTTTCGTTTCTTCCATGTTGTTTTGTTTTTTTTCTTGCTCGCTCCATTGTTATCTGCACCTGTTTTTTTTTAAATATATATATTTAAATTAAAAACTTTATATATTGTTGTTAAGTAAACACAAAATAAGCGCGAAGAAATGATTTCGATAGTGTTTCTCCATTAAAAAGAAATAAATATTTCAACAGCTGTCTTCTTATTGTTGTTGTGTGTCTCTTAATTCTGTTTATACATTACATTCATATTGAAGAATCTATCGTGTGTTTAAATATATATATATTTATTAATATTGAATTATTCTTGATTAATTAAATTCATTTTAAAAGACAAATTATGAGTTTTCAATCACTTAATCCTGAATTAACAGCTAAAGTTTTGTTGTTAGCTAATTTACAACGAAATTTGGTAAGATTTTATCTAAAGAAATAGAAGCAAATTAATGAGAATTGTTCAGATGCAAAATCAAAATGTTATAAATGAAAAGACAGCTGAAGAAAATAATCTAACATCGACAATGATTGGACAACAACAACAACAATTAATCCATCCACTTTTGATGCCTTCATTAGTATGTTATATAATTTGTTTGATAAAAATATTTTCTTTTTCTGAAATGAACAAAATAGATAATCAAATCGAGATTATCTTTCTTTGTCTGCATTCCACATGATTATTTTTCTCGTAATTATCATACAAAGAAAATGCGATCCTTTTGATTTGAATTTAACATAATAAAATAAATTGGAAATAAAATAGACTATATTCATGATTTCGAAGTAAAGCTGTTGGCAATTCGAAATTTGAGCAAAAAAAACGTTTTTGTTTTTTGTTTGTCATGGTTGAATAGAATTGGTCGAGTTACTTCTAACTAATGTTGTTTTTGATATAATCGAACAATGTTTTTGTAGCAAAACTTAAGAAAATTAGAATATGCCAAAAGCATCAAGTCTCAGTAGTCTCAATATTTATTCGGATTTTCTTTTGATTTTAGTCGTCATATGGTTAGGAAAAAAATGACGCATGATTTTGGAAAAAATATTGTTCCATTGTTGAGAAAATCAATTTTGTCATAAATGTGAGTTCGTATTCAAAGATTTTGATCATCAGAAGTTCAATTCGAATGAAACGAATATCCTATTTAGAATCTACATCAAAAAGTATACTTCACACTTCAAATAAGTTTTCGTAAAGTTTCAGTCTAAGATAAAACACAAATGAGAGTATTCGACAGTAACTGTAACAAATTGTAAGGACCGAAATTTGGTGAAAACCTCTATTCGATGCAGATTCTTCTGTTGATTGTAAATACTATGTTTGTTTTAGTTCAAAGTTAAGTTCTGATAGTCAAAATCTCTGAATAAGAACTTGTATTTATGAAAAAATCGATTTTCTCAATAATCAAACAATATTTTTGGAAAACTGTGCATTATTTTTCTTTCCTAAGCATGCAACGCGTAAAAACAAGTTCGAATAAATATCGATACTTGACACGTTTGACATATTTCAATTTTTATAGGCTTTTCTGATTTTTCTAATATAATTTTCCTAATGTTCGCTATAAAAACATTGTTCGAATAGATCAAAAATTAACATATTAGATTGTTTCTGTTTGTGTTTTTCTAGTCATCGGATTTATATTTTTTATTATCTTCAATAAAATATGATATTTCTAATTTTTCTTTTTGAAGATAATAATATAAGATTTTCAATTTACTAGAATGTCTCTTCACAAAAAATTTCGGCTATGTTAGCTGCATTAACTCCATCACCATTTATAAATACTTCAACATCACCATCGAATCCTATACCAATACATCAATCAACATCAGCATCTCTCGCAACATCAAACAATAATGTAATGAATTCACGAACAATCAATTCAACAGCAAATATACGTTTAAATGGATCTAGTTTTGGATGGGGAAACCGAGAACGTAAAATGGAAGAAAATTGGCGTATGCAAAATCGAAATATTTAATTAAAATTTCAAAAGACAAAAAAAAAAGAAAAAAAAATCGAATTCTTTTCTCAAACAACAGATATAGACAATAAACGTTCATCAGACTCTTCTTCCTTCAAATATTCAATACTTCTTTTCATATTAGTTGTACGTATTAATGTTAATGATTTTGAAATTTGTTCTTGAAAAATATTTTCAACATGAGATAAACGGTCAATTGTATCTAAACAATAATCTGTATGTGATAAATGAAGACGTCGTAATTTTTCTCGATATTTTACAGCACATGCATATGCTCGTTCGTCAACAAGAGCTTGAAGTTCATCATTTGTTAGTGAAGTATATGATTCATGATCAACAAAATAGCAACGAAATATTTTTTTTAAACGTTCAACATCAGCTAATTCTTCTAAAAAGAACAAACAAAAGAATAAATAATTCAATTAAAAAATTAAAAAAAAAAACATTTGTTTCATTAATTACAAACCAAAAAGTTTATTTTTACTTGGTACATCCCAAAGTGTTTTTAAAAAATATGCTGGTAAATCAGTACGTTGTCTTTGAGTTTCTTTTAATTGTTGAATAAAAAAAGACATGATTCCAAATCCATAAAAACCAATATAAGCTATAATAAATAGAGCTGCACCTACATTACCAAATTGAATTTCATTAAGCCATTGTTCGCTTATAATCGATGTTTCATTCATCTTTCGATTCGAGTAACTACAATTAGTGGCACCAGCTTGATTCTTCTTATTCTTTTTCTTCTATATTAAATGAAAAAAAAAATAGAAAAAGAAAAGAACATAACTACATATGTTTATTTTGTATGTCTTTAACGATAGTTTTATAATGTTTTGCTTTACGTTTTAATACATCTTTAGCACTACCTAATAAACGATTAAAATCAGCTCGATCAAGTACTAATAATTGACAATGTATTATAGCAACAGCTGTTGCTGCACGACGTTCGTTATATAATAATGCTCGTTCACCAAAATAATCACCCGGTTGACATATTTTAACAACAATATAATCAGATTTATTCGATGATTCACGTATACGAATTTCTACACTACCAGATTTAACAAAATACACTAAAAAGAATATTGTAAAGATTGTTTATAGTAATAAGAAAAAACTAAAAGATCTTGTCGGATAAGATGATTACTCTGTATATGAAAAGTCAAATTATATTGTTTTATAGAGCAACTCGTGGAGCACTGAACAGTTTATAGGAAATTTATTTTTCAACAATATGCCAATTAAGAGATATTATAGCAATTATGGATGATGTGATAAAACGTTAGGACTTAGTATATCTCTTCAAACCAACCTATATCAAATTTTATTTAAAGTTACTCCAATAGAGTTTTGTCTGATCTTCAACCATATATATAAAATAATACTCATAATAGCTTTCTTCGTAGCCAAAACCTTCATATTTTTACTAGTTTCTGTAATTTTTGGTTTTTATGATGTTTTAAATTCTTCGATGCTGCTCCTGAAAGCAAAGACGACCAACCATGTAACTTTCTCAGAAATTGTACACCATCAAGTTCTGTAAATATACCAATTGATTGTCCTCTGAATGAATATGCGTCACGATCAAATCGGCCAATCGATGCCTAAAAAATATCAAATTTTGCGATTTCTAAGAATACAAGAGTATAGAAGTTTTGCAATAAATACTCTTTTTGAGTAAAAATGTTTCTATCTATTAATAATAAGTTTGTGATAAATGGATCTTGGGAAAATAAAAAAAAATTTACCTCTTTTAAATCTCTAGAGAGAGTACGGAAATGGATTATTACAAAGATTAGTTGTTATTTTATTTTGTTTCTTACGAATTTAGATTCTGAGTAGTCGGCTGTGGTTAGAGTATAGAGCTCTATTAGATTCAATATATGTTCGCTCTTTTATGGGAGTTAAAAATTTTACATTTTCCGTATTCCTTCCAGAGCTCCGAAAACGAAAAAGTTTTTGTCATTTGTTAAAGATCCATGTATGTCAAATGACGGGGGATGATGAACTTATTATTAATAGGTAGAAGCGTTTTTACTTAAATAGTATTTATCGGAAAACTCCTATTGTTTTCCGTTCTTAGAAATCGAAAAATTGGACTTTTTCTAGGCATCGATTGGCCGATTTGACCATGATGCATATCCATTCAGAGGACAATTAATCAGTATATTTATAGAGTTGGGTGACGCACAATGTCTGAAAAAGTTACACGGTTGGCCGCCTTTGGTCTCAGGAAAAGTATCGAAGAATTTAAAACATTTTAAACGCCAAAAATTACAGAAACTAATAAAAATACTAAGACTTTGGCTACGAAGAAAGCTATTATGAATATTATTATATATATACACAATAGAAGATCAGACAAAACTCTACTGAAATAATTTTAAACAAAATTTGATATAGTTTGGTTTAAAGAGACATACTGAATTCTAACATTTGATCATGTCATCCACAATTGCTATAATATTTCTTAATTGATATATGACTTCTCAAAACATTAAAACTTAATGAAAAAGCAATTGTATATAAACTATTTGATGCTCTATGAGTTGCTGTACAAAACGATATAATTGACTTTTCAAATTAAGTGTGATCATCTTATTCGACAGGATCTTGTCGAATTTTTTGTTTTTATATTTTTGTTTACTTGCATCTGCAAGATCTCCTTCGTAAATTATTGTGTCTCCACGTTTATATTCTTCATATTTGAGTGCATCAGCAACATCTAACATTTCTTTTTCATTCATATTTTGTAAAATTTGACATTTTTTTATAAATTCTAAATGACGTTGACGTTTTTTAAATGCTACAAATCGAACTACTTGAGAGAATATTTCACGATTCATACGCCATAATTTTCCATCAGTTAATGCTCGAATTGTTGCTAAACGTGTTTGATTATAAAGTAAAGCTAATTCACCAAATGAACCTTCATTATTATCTAAATACAAAAAAACAAAAATATGCTTTATAAATAAAACAAAAATAAAAGAAATTTTTACAAATTTTCACTTGTTTATCATTAATTAATGCTTCATAAATTCCTGTTTGAATAAGATAAAAATAATCTCCTTGTTCTTTTTCTCTCATTAATATTTGCTCGGATTTAACATGATATAATTCAAAATGTTGAATAACTTGTTCTATTTGTTCATAATCAAGTGCACGAAATGGCAATGTTTTTGGAATTGATTGTCGAAGAAAATCATATTCTTCAAAACTTTTTTCATTTTTTATTTTTGGTAAATTAAGTTTTTCAATTTCAGGATTAAATGTATCACCAAATAAAACTGCTCGTGTCATACAACGATTTTCATATTCATCTAGATTTTCATATGCTACACGTATAGATTCTTCCGTTGGATTATCCATTATATCATCACTAATATTAATTTTAGTTGACGTTTTATTTGATAAATAATATTCACGAAAATATTGATAAGCATATTTATATAAATCACGAGATTTTATTTTTGATAAAATAACAGCTTGAACAAAACCTTCAAGCATTTCACGTAGACCATTAGGAATAGTAACATCATTTATGCTACGATTCATATTCAATCTTATAAATTAAATGAGATCATTGTGCAGTTATTAGAATTATCAATGGCGCCTACGATTAATCCAATCATGAATAATTTATTTATATTAAAAAAATGGTAATTCGTCGAATTCAAAACACTATCGATACATTACTTAATTTTAATATTAGCATCAACGCATAATATAGCAATTAATATTATACTCTGATTATTTTTCGTTTACACATGACTACATGCTCATAATGAATTCAATCGTCTCTATTCTTGTTTGCCAACAGACCTACAATTATGGTACGAAGCACTGTATAGTATTTGTTCTCGATTATTTTTTACTCTCTAGACATCCCACTCCAATCACTATTTTGTGTCGCGATGATCTAAAGATTCAAGAGTCGTACGATTTTCCTTTAAACGTTGTGATAAAGTCTCATGTTCTTAAATGATCGATTTTTGTTTTGAAACTTCAATATGAAGTTCCGTTCGTTCTCAATTCACTCCACAATATGACTATTTTGAAGTGAGAAATATGTTTTCTTTTCGAGATAATGAAAAAAATACGAACCAGTAATCAGTAGAGTCCGTCGAGTTGATTCCGAACTTGGATGTAGTCGGGCCCGGATCTAAAATTTTTCTGTTAGCTGAATCCGAAAATTTTAGATCCGATACCCTCTAGTAACTAGAGGTGTCCCCAGTGGAGAAGGATCAAGAGCTTATGCCTATCTCGCAAAGCTTTTGTTTTTCTCCAGTGTTTTATTAGCTTTTTTTTGCTCATCAATTCTCAAAAATACATTTAACCTTCCCTCAAAATCTGGTCAATTTTAGCAAAAATCTTCCAATTGGTCTTCTGAATTACTGACTCCCTCTCCCAATCCTGACTATCTTGGAACACTCCCACTGATGGCTACGATATAATGAAAACGAGTTTTAGTAGCAACAATGATTGTTCATTAGATCGAATATTTCTGGCATCTTTCGAAGTTTTCGTCATATCGAAGATCTTTTCGACATCCGTATTTCTATTTCTCTCAGTGATAGAGAATTAGAATGAATTGGAGATTTAAAAAAGTCAATGAAAATTTAGTCAAGAACTCTTGTCCACCAGAGTACTATAGACTTCATGGATTTTTCGAAAGAATATCTATTGATTTTCTCTTAACACAAAATCTGATTTGTTTCTTAATAACTGATTTATGATGTTCATAATTAAATGTATATTAAACTCATCGTTCTACTTTGTGCAATATAGAAACATGTTTTTTTTTCGGTAAATTTGACGTTTCAAATAATTCAAAAGTTTTATAGTCTCATAAAGGACGAGAAGGCTATGTATTCTAATTAACAGCTTTGTTCTTTACTCTACAATTAAACTAATTAGTCGACATATTTAATTTTTATTATGATAGAAAAGTAAACTCAATTTGATTGTTTACCAATTGCATTTATAAATCGATCTAACACGTTTAATTTAACAGGTTTATCGACATTTTATCTCGATCTCTTCAAAATATTGTTCACAATGTAGCTATCAATGAAAAACCTATGTTTATTTAAATAATTGACAGATAAATCTGTTTTTCAAGAGATATTTGTACATGTTCAAATAATTGGTTCTTGTTACTTGTTTAACCAAGGGGACACAGCCCTTCCATCAGAAAGAATCCGGTCATCTAAGACTTCCTGCCTTTAAAATGTCAAAATTCTGATGTCTTGTTTTCCATTTGTCTTCTCAAATCCGAATCAGAAATATAATACATGACTCAATATCAACAAAACATATGAATTCGAGACTTTTATTGACAATGTCTAGCAGAAATTTATTGTCTTTTTCATAGGTTTACTAAATAATGACTATAATTTCTAAAATGAAATGTTTTTGTTTATTATAAAAAATAAACATATTTTGATTGCATAATATTTCTTTATAAAAAAAAAAAAGAACAAAATTAAACATAAAGTCTTCACTAATCAAATTAAATATATATACAATATGAAATTATACTTTGTAAAATAAAAATAATAAATAATAGTTCATTATTTTCTTTAAAAAAAATGTCTTAAATAGATTATTAGACTATAATTAAATCACATTATTTCGTTTTCTTCATACGAAATAATTGTATATATGTTAGAAGAAACAATATCGTTGTCATTGAACCTAATGCAACAAAATTTTTCCATAAATCCCATTCAGTTTCATATTCAATATGTGCAACATTATGTATAATATCTATACCATCAATTGGACAAATATTTGTGTTATTGTTTAAACAAAGTTGTAAACCATTAAATTCATTTATAGTAATTATATTCATTGAATAACGAAATAAACTAACCCATTTAATCCATGATAAATATTTAATAACTGATGATACCTCAACTAAAAATCCTCCAAAAACCATCATTAATACAAAACACATTGCAGCTAATAAATTTGCAATACCAAATACTTTTACACTAGCTGAAATGAAAAAACAAACAGCAGCTCCACATATTGCTGTTAAAAAAATAGCAAAATAAAAAATAAAAAATTTTTCTACTGTTTTTTGAAAACCAATCATAAAATAAACAATAGCTGAAAAAAGTATTGATGGAATTATACGTAATGGTATTAAATCACATAATAATTTAGCTATAAAATATGTTGATACATGATAATATCCACTTGCATTTTCATGTATAAATAAAACACGTTCTTTAAGAAATAATTCAATAGCTGACAAATTTCCCATAACTTGATTTGTTACAATAAAAAATATTGCACCCATACGATTTTTAACTCCAGTATCTTCAGTACGATCAACTTGTAAATAAATTAAACCAACTAATGTTGCAAAAATAATTGTTACAATTGTTTGCATTGTAACTAGAATTGGATTTCGATATACATTACGTAATGTACGTTGAGCGACATAAAAAATTTCTAATAAACGTGATTTCGAAGCTAATTTTTCATGATTCACTATTGCTGTTGTTGTTATTTTTCGATTATTTTCATTTGTTAGTTCTTGTTGAATTGATGCATATATATTTGATTTTATATATAAATCATGTAAATGAAGAGCATTTTGTTCATGAACATTATTTAGATTATGTTGATTATTATTTTCTCTTGAACTATCACCTTGAGTTATATCAAGAAGAAAATCAGCTGGATTATCATGTTCTTCACATACATAGCCCATTGAAGAAAAATATGGAAGTACTGCATTTGTAGGACCATGATAAACACAATAACCAGCAGCTACTATAAATAATGTATCGAATAATTTAAAAATATGATAACGTGGTTGATGAATTGAAAAAATAATTGTACCTTAATAAAAATTAAAATAATGCTGATTAAAAAAATTTGCTTTAGAATTACATACGTCCTCGTCTTGATAATTGATGAAGATATTCCATAACATTACGAGCTGTTGATGAATCAAGACCTAGTTATTATTAATTAGAATTTTATTATACACAATTTAATAAGAGCATTGAATTATAAGAGTAATGGATCCATTCACTCCCGAGATCATCATAAACATTACCATGGAAATATCACAGACAGTATATCAATGACGTCTCTTTATAGTATACGAACTAACCTTATCGACCCTCCACAATAAAAGGCCTCGAACTTTCTATTATATCCCATTTATTTTCATAATTTTTAATTAAAAGAATTTTTCAGCAAACGAAAATGATTTTTACGATTCGAGAAGATATTTTTAGGGTTTTAAAAGCTCAGAAATAATCCTGGCCTAAGTCTCAATATTTTCAGCTCCAAACTGTGAAAACTAGGCATGTCCTGATATAAATATTCTAATTAAAGTTTCAATTTTTTGAGAAATTAATTAATTAACTCTTCATTGATATTCTCACTTCGAAACTTCGTTGCTGTTCTAGAGTCCAGCTGGACCCATCTATAGAAAATTACAAAAACAATCGGTAATTTTGTTTTATTTGAGCTATCCATTTATAGACTATAGGCCTCCAAATACTATTTCTATAAAGATTTATGCGTCAGTTTCCATAGATACAATATGAAGACATAAAATACCAAAAACGAGATTGTTTGGAACTGTTTGCATAAGAGTATTGAAGTCTAACTAGACAAAAACCCCTAGAACCAGTCACTGGAGTCAAGAACGATAGAAATATGCTGTTATGTTCATACATACGATTGTCTATAGATAAGAGGTAAAGAATTTTTTTCTCTTTCATTATCTTTATTTTTATCTTTTTCTTTTCTCCACAGTATAAAAACTTCGAAAATATAGTTTTTCTGTCACATTGATAGAGTTATTCTTATTTAACTTGCTTTGTTGGAAGCAGAGTCTTTTCTAGCTCTTTCTTTGCACATGTCTAGCAAGTTACCACTTGACAGTTTCTCTTACATTTTTACAAACACTAACAAATTCACACAATTCGAACAAACTGACAAAAACCAATGTACTGTGGTTTTGACAAAAAAAAACAATCACAAATCTCACACTGTATAAAGAAAATGTGAATCATTCTTATTAATAATGAACGTACGAACGAATCTATTTGGAAAAAACAATTCGGAGACAAAAGATGACAACTTTAGAAAGACGAAAACTTATGTCTATAACATCATTGATGTTCCAGGGTTAATGTGAGCTCACATCTGTATTTTTTTCTCTGAGATCTATTCATGATTTCTGGTAAGGATATTATGCACCTACTAAAGATCAAAGATTACAAAAGAGGAATAATATGAAAGAACAAATCTTAATGTAGTGCTATATGAAAAACTGTAACGTGGGTCCATTTAGACTCCACAACAGCAACGAAGGGTTAAGGAAGGGACAGATATTTACTTATTGCATTTTTGGACAATTAAGTAAAAAGATGATGAAGACATGTGTTCCAAAATAGCTAGAATAAAACAATGTCATTATGATTAACAACATTAGCTACATCATATTTCACATTTTAATCGCGCAGAAAATGTGCTAACAGCTTTTTAAAATTATGTTTGTTCTATCAATTCTTATTTATTTAACTCTGTTTATTTAGAAAAAAGCATAAAATAGAAATGTATTGTTAACTGATGGCTTCAATCATGGAAAATAACTTTCTCTTTTCATTATTGATTTTGAAGAAAACAAGGCAGAAATTAGAATAGAAAAAAACATTAATTTCAAATATTATTCCAAAAAGACATCGTAGATCTTTCTTGAACTATCAACATTATTAAAGAAGAATTATTTGTTAAACATGAATGAAAAATTTTAGATGATTAAATTACCTGTTGTTGGTTCATCCAAAAAGAGTACAGATGGTGATAGAACTAATTCCATGCCAATATTTGTTCGTTTTTTTTCTCCACCAGATATTCCACGTAAAAATTCTGTACCGACTCTTGTATCAGCACATGTTTCTAAACCCAATTGTTCAATAACTCGTTCAACAATAGTTGTTTTAGTTTCATGTGAAATATTTTTTGATAATCGAACATTAGCTGAAAATCTTAAATTTTCTCTAACTGTTAATGTTCCACTTAGAATATCCTCTTGTACAACATAACCAACGCGATATTTAAAATCTTTTGTTTGAATTTGTCCATTCATTAATACTTGTCCATCGAGACCATATCGAGCTTTTCGATCAGCTAATATATCTAATAATGATGATTTTCCACTACCAGTTGGACCAAGAATAGCATTCATGCCTGGTTTAAATATTCCATTGATATCATAAAGAATTTGTTTATGTTTCTTTTTAATACATGGTAATGAACATGCATTACAACATTTTTGTGTATGTAATGTATAATTTATTGAATGAAAAGTAATCGTTGAAGCTTGAGAATCTTTTAATGTATTTTCATCATTTGTTACTAATCTTTGTAATGTTTGACCATTGTTTAGATTCATTACTTTTTTTTTTGATTAAGAAGTAATAACTCTACAAAATTTGAAAAATCAATATAAAAATATACAAATTGATAGGTAATATTTTTAAAATCACCGTCTATTAATTACTGTTTTTACTACTGTTTCAAGATATACTCAATTTAAACTTTGTGTAATCATTACTTTGAATAAAATATCACGGGTACTTTTTATATTTCAGAATGTCTGCTTATATAACTCTCACTTATTTTTCGTTCGTAAATATAACTTATCAAGTCTTCTTGTCGAGTTATAAAAATAGTCGAAAGTCTACAGAACATTGAAAAAAGGAGAGCTGATAAATACTTTCAGATAAAGTAAAAGTATGCATGTGTTGTCATAATCATAAAGATTCTTGTTCGATGACATTTCTGGTTGATAACTAATGAGACTTCAAAAAACAGAAGATGTCGTTCTTTATCAAAAGAATTCTTAATATAGAAAGCTGTAAGACCGGACAATGACCCACCACTTCTCCTTGCCAAATAGGAAAATGTACCATTCCTAGCTGAAATACTTCACCCTTCCCGGTCCACAAAGTGAAGAAGAAATGCTTGTTTTTACATTAGCTACAGCCAATATAGAAATGAATTCAAGTCAAAAGGAATGAGTCGTTCACAAAAAAAAAACAAATCCTATAATCCTTTCTATCACAACAAACAGAAGTTCAAAAGACTTAAGGATATATCGATCATTTAACTTTGTCACTCTATAGAGAAGTTCTAGCAGAAATGAAATGTGTTTCGAAGAAAATTGATTCATTCATCTCTTCTCTAGCGAGAGGCAATGCAAAGAAACGGTTTATACCTGCATTGATTTATGTCAATAAGAACAGTCAATGATAGATATATGCTTATATTCTTTCTTTGTATTCTCCTCAATACGTGTGACTTTATGTGGAATGAAGCATTTCAATATAAACGGAAACGATTTCCTTATCGACTCATCCAATTGTCCACTGCTGAAAAACTGAAGATCTTCTTTTTTTTCTTGATTGTATAAGCAAGAAGCATATATTTGAACGTTTTAATTTCTATCAGTTTGAAATAAATTCATACGAGCAAGTTATAAACAAAATTTTCATTTAAATACAAAGAGACTTTTTAATCATGAAGTAATAATGACCGCGGCTGGCAGAATACGAGAAGATTACGATATATTATTAAGTTCTCTTTCTTGATTTTGTCATCATCACTGAGATAGTTGTCATGTCGACCCGAACACATACGGTCATTCTTTATTATATATCATATTCTTTCGATATATTTCTTACGTATATTTTTTCACATTATCAATGACAGGCATGAAATTCATATATTTTTATTACTTCAACGATTTTGGTCGTATTGATTAACCATGCCTTAAATGTCGAAAGTACAATCTCAAAAATCTAAATCCTTTTTAATCATAGATTTCACCCTCATTCTCACTGTTGCACTGTGTACATGCATGTCATATTACAATTTGTTGATCATACCTAGGACAAACAACTAGATACTAAGATTTGACGAGATCTTACCTCTAATCTTGTAAGATCAGACGAAAATCGTAGTCTCAGAAGTCTTACGCTAAGTCATATTATAAGAGTCTTGAAAGATGTTGCTGCCTTGTAAGATTATAGGAAGTTTTATACAACGGTAAGATTTTTCAAGAATCTTATAGTACGACTTAATGTAAAATTTCTGAGACTACTACTTTTTGTACGATTCCATCTGGTGTTACAAGATCTTACATCCGATTTTTCGATCTGGATTGCTGTCTTGTAAAATCTCACTATAAGATTATAAGAAATCTTATGTGATAGTGAGATCTTTCAAAAATCTTATAGTACAATTTAGTGTGAGATTTTTGATACTATGCATTTTTGTTTGATTTCATCTGGTCTTACGTCTGATGTTTTTGACTTGGGAAGGTTTATATATGTTAAACCTAAAACATATATTCAAAGTGATATTCGAGTGGTAAAGTAGATAGTTATATGCAATAAAAAAGTAGTAGTAATGAAAGTACTAAATCTAAATAAGTACTAGTACTATATGATTATTCATGCAGAGAAGGAATAGAATATAAGGAATATTGACTTTATTAAAAACGTATTTATCTTTTCAGTTCTAAGTTTTCTATGAAAGATAATAGTCATTGTTCTGTTGACGTTAAATTAATTAATAGTGAATGTGTATATGGAAATTTCAAGATGTAAGGTCAATCTGAACTTCTAAGTACAGTTAACATCTTTGAAAGTAAGATTCATGTTAATAAAATATTTAGTAATAATAAATAGTCTTAAATTAATTTCTTCAATGAAATCTAATACTATTGAGAAACTAAATATTGAATTACAATTAGAAGCAACTTTTATACCATTATAGACTAGAAATAATTGTATTATAAAATTTTCTTTCTTTTTTATTTTTTATTCAAATACAATAAAAAAAATTCTAAATCTTTTTATTATACGAATTTCATATTCGATGCTACATTAGTATTATTATTATTATTATTATTATTATTATTATTAACAATAATTGAATGAGTTAATTGTAACCAACTATAATAATGTTCAGAATTTGCTACAGAATCTTGACGAAGATGACTTGTTGATAAATCCTGATTTGATTGAGTTCGTAATTTTGAATGAAATTTTGGATAACATGATGATCCCATAAATAATGAATAACGATGATGTCGTGAAGAAATTATTGGTTGTCTTTGACTTAAACGAATTTGATTATTAGATGGTGATAATATTTGTTTATTTTGTTCCATTATTTGAAAATTTTCTGATGAATAACATGTTGAATAACATTTTAATTTAAATAAAATTGATGATGGACAAAATAATATAAAAAATAATAATGGTTTAAAACATGTACCAAATAATAATATTTGAGAAAATATACGACTATTCATAATTTCATTATTTATTGATATTAATTGAGTATCAAATATTATTTCAATTGCACGATAACAATAAAATGGTATTGATGTTAATGTTACTGTTGTAAATATATAAAGTATATAAATACAGATTTGTCGTTCATGAGTAAATGATGATGTAACTTTTCTAGTTATTATACAACAGCATAAACGAATATGTAAAACTGTTTCAAGAACAAGAGCTAAATAAAAGAAAAATAGAGATTTTTTTTTTTTGAAAAAGTTAAATGTAGTTTTTTTTCTGTATTACCAGTTAAATGTAAGGAAAATAGAAGAAGAAAATCAGCTTGTATTAAATGTACAAGTCGAACAGTAAAATTAAAATTATGATTTGTTTGTAAATAACATATTTTTTTTTGTTCCATTAAATAATGATTATTATCATATGGATCTTCTGATTTTATTGATAATAAATTTGAATCTATGGAAGTCATATTTATATTAGTTTTATTCATCGAATTATATATAGTTATATTCTTAGTTTCATTTCCATATTGATTCTCAATCATTGATGATGAAGGAGGAACAATATAATCTTTTATATTTGCAACACCCCATAGCCATAAACCATCTACTGACCATGCTAATGCAAGTACAAATGGTATTAAAATACTTAAATCTGTACATAATAATTGTTTTAATGTAGATAAATGTGATGATTTAACTTGAAATTCTTTACTTAATATATAATGATAACGACATAATATGACTATAATTAATAAGGGTACAAAATGTAGAGTAAATTTCCATAATAAAATATGAGCAGAACATAAATGATGACGAGCAAGAAATGATTGAAAAAAATATTGTTCATCCAAACAACTTATTATTGATGAAAAACATAAAAGAATATCATTACTTGTTAATATAAAAAGAAAACGATATTTTTTATGTGATAATATGTGTATCGATTCTTGTGATTGTTTTTGTTGAATTCTATTTAGTTTTCGTTTTTGATATTGATAAATAATAAACCAAATTTTAATACAACATATCAGATTAAAAAAAAAACCAAATATACTTATAATCAATGTAAATCTTGAATGAAATAATGGTGAATATGCTATTGTTACTGTATCATATGTTTTATTTATTGTTGCATTTGAAGAAAGAAAATATGAATCATGTAATAACATTTGTCTTCAATTTTTCCGATTACTAACTATTCACTATCTAGAAAAAAGATAGAAAGAAATATTTTAATAACGAGGATCTTCTAGATATTCTATATCGTGTTGTTGTTTACCCTTATCTACTCATATATCTACAATATATATTCTCACAAAAGAAGATATAAAAATTTAATGAATACTCGAATAGATAACATACAAACATTAACATATATAAATTATTAATGTATACGAAATAGAACTAATAAATATATTTTGTCATCAACAAAAATATTTCATAAAAAGAAAAGTTCTTTCGGAATTATGTGAATACGTAACAAAGATTTTCGTTATATAGATATAATTCCTTATAACAACTAGCTAATTATACTCACTGTTCTTAAAAACATACATCAAATGAACCTTACAATTTCTAAATGAATGAATAATGCAAATTAGTATGACAAGAAAAAAATATATATTAAGAAATCCAAATTGACACGGTCTCATTTCAATGCATTCAAATGAATGATTTTTACCCTGAATAAAAAGAAAAGCAATTTTGTAGGCATTATCATATTGGAACTCGACTTTTCTCAAAAAGAACAAAAAGAAACTTTACAACGTATAAAAACCACGGTTGTTGATCTATTTAATTTGATTGTCAACAAGCACGATTTATGCTACAAGGGATTCTTTTGTTCAAAAAAAAAGGACCAACATAGAAAGTCTCTGAAGAACAAACGTCATAAAGAAATAACAACTCGAGAGTATTCAGTAGTTTGTGCTGTTAAATGTTTCATGTTGATCGATTTCTATAACAAAGAATTATTTTGAAAAAGAACAAAGCTCTTACGATCAACCTTGGTTTTTTTTTGTCTAATGAATAGAGCACCTATAAATAAGAATAGGAATGTTGTGAAAAAACATATTTAGCTTTCGACAAGAGCACATACACAATCAATCACAATAATTAAACAACACCAGTAGTCGTAGTCACAATTAAAACAAAAACGCAACGTTTTCTTCGCATTTATGATATTATATTTTTCATGCACTGCAGATCCTGGTTGCATGATTTAACAAATGACATGATTTAAACGTTTTTTTTTTAAATAAAAGGTAGACCTATAGAAGAAAAAAGCTGTAGAAACACCAAGAATATTCATTTCTATTAAAAGAAGTCTAAAATGATCTAAAAACTACATAAAATTTATATATGGAAACAAAAGTTATAAGGATGTACATGATGCACAAGAAGTAAAACAGATTTATATTTGTGCTACTTATTTTTATTACATATCGTTACTGTGACATTCAATGAAAACATATGCAGCAATATTTGTTCTTTTTACTTATTTAGAGAAAAGAGATACCTACATCTAAAGGAAATATCTACATTGACAAGATTTAGATAAATAAAATGAATGTACTTCATTACCATTTGTTTTTTTCTTATATAAATATATATTTTCCTTGTAAACTAGTTTTTTTTTCTTCTTTAGTTAACAATATTTATGCGTCATTAAGCATACGGAACTCATTTGCCATTCTAAATGAACTTCGACGGAAAAGAAGAAAGATTTGACTTCATGTCTCAAACATTAATCTTAAATACTATTATTATATTTTAACATGAGACTTACCTCTCATTTAAAAATTTACATGTTTTGTTTTTGACATTTTAATTAGTCAAAAACTTGATAGTTGATATAAAAAAAGTTTTTCATTATGAAAAAATAAAATAGAATAAAATAAAATAAAATATAATAAAATATTTTTGTCTCAAGTTATATTGATTTTCTGTTGAGGAAGTTTGCATATTAGTCAATGAGCTGATGCTTTTAGAAAATGAAAGAAGATGTTTTTCCTGTAATATAAGATTTGACTGAATATATATATTTTATCACGCTACTTATTAATAGTGTAGATTTTTTTTATTATCTATATTTTTTTTTTCTCTATTCGCCTATCAGCAATAGCTAGATAAGAGTAAACAAAGAACGATATAGAATGACAATACTGGTTGTGTTCCACTTCATAAAAAAAATTGCTTTTTTTTGTCTCGCTGCTATATATATATATATATATAGCTATCAAGAATTCTATTCAGATCTATTTCATGTGTATTGAATGAGGATAGAAAAGAAGAATGAACGAAAAGTAGCCATCTCAATTTTGTAGTACTCTTCTATTGTTTTGATGAATATTGTTTTTTATTTTTGAATAAACAATATAGAATTAATGTCTTTTGAAAAGTGACTGACACTTTGAAATATTTTTTCTGTTTGTTTGTTGTTATTTTATTAGATTTGTGTGAAATATCAAACAAATCAAAAAGAAAAAGAAAAAATTGAATAAGAAATTCCTTTTACATGAGTAATATATATATATATATATATATATATACACGTTTCATTTCAATTTGGGTAAAAGTCGACGAAAACTAGTAGCTGAATGATGTTTCTAAAGATAAAAGACGAAAAAAATAAAAATCATATTTTATTTTATTTTTACTTTTTTCGGCACCGGAGAACAATCAATTTGAGGTAACATATAATTAATTAATTTATCTTGTTGACAACTTTTAATTAATAATTTTTCTTGATTGATCTTAAATTTAAAAACAAAATAAGATATTTCTTTTTGAAAAATAACAATATATATTAATACCTCTCGATCACCTAATTCATCCGACAAAATCTTTATATGATCAGCTAAACGATCACGAGCTTCAGTCAAATCCATATTACGACGTCGTTCCGTTTCGTATTCTCCGTAGAGTACAGCATATTCTTCTAAATAGAAATATAACAAATATATATATTTCTCAATCTTTTAATTCTATGTCTTGTATTTATATCTCTTTCCATCTATTTAATTAGTTAATATAAATAAACAAAACAAATATTTCATGGTGTATATAGATTAAAAAAACAAAATATTTTGTGCTCAGTTGCTCCCGTAATTAAATAATTTTCGGACATCAATAAATAACATGCATGGTTCTTTGAATCTAAGTTGTTTTAGAACTATGTTTTTTTTTTTTTACAATATTTTTTTGATGATTACACTATGATGAGTATGGTTTTGTTCGATATTAAAGAAAATGACTCTAAGAATATATAATTTCAAAAATGACGTATTAAGATTACAGCAAATGAGAATCCTATGTTAAACATAACTAAAAAATACAATAGATCAACAGCAACTTAGTAGGAAGAAAAAGAAGCTATAGATGTCACATATGTGAGACAGAATTAGTAATGAAGTCAGATAATGTATTCATTGAAAATGCAAATATCAACATCAAATAGTAAAAGGAAACTTTAATAATGCTGGCAAAAAAAAAAGGAAAGATCAAAAATCTTAATTGAACAGAAAATTAGTTAAAGTTTTGAATAAGAAATAATTTTCTTTTCAACTAAAAAAAACTCATGATTAATAATCAATTCTATTTAGTTATATTTATTGATTCTAGGGATACATCAATTTCTAGAACATGATGTCAAAGATGACAGTTCTGTTTTTCTTTATCAAGAATGTCAGTTTCTGTGAATTGTCTGTGTCAATCATGATCAATTTTTCTTTTGCTCTGTTCGAAGTTGAACATTCACATTTTTTTATGTTTTTACGACTGATTTCAAATGATTGCGGAGACCTGTGTTTTAAATTAGACAAAACCTAAGAATAGCTTTGGAAAGAGTGTTCAAAATTGATCAAAGATGGCATGAAGAATTTCTAGAAGTTTGATAATTCCCAATACTGGAAATATTCTAAACTCCGATTCGAAATTGGTTTATTGATTCTTACAAAAACACATATTCAATATTGAAAATTACTAGACTCGTAGTAATTCTTCATGCTAGTTGGAATTAATTTCGAACGTTCTTTTGGAAACCATTCTTAGGTTTTGTCTAATGTAAAACACACGTCTTCGAAATCATTTGGAATTAATTGAAAAATAAAAATAAAAATTTCAAATTTTCGACTGATTCCGAAACCTTTGCTTTTGTATTTCATGAAATTCAACTAGTTTCGAATAGAGCACAAAAATACTGATCATGGTTAATATAAACAATTCACAAGAATTACATTCTTAATAACGAAAAAAAATATATTATCTTTGCTATCATGATCTAGAAATTGATGTATCTATAATTAATTTAAATAGGAGACATTTTTTTTGTGTCCACCTATCAACATTATTATATCAAAGAATAAATCATTTAAACTGTTTCACAAAATTAATACTTGCTTTAAGAAACAATATATATGCTATGAATATAATACAGTTCATTTCGAAATACTAAATAATTTCATTTTCGACACGTTCAGAATGGTTTTGAGATTAAAATCAAAAACTAGTTTATTCTATTTAATTAAACATTGCACAAGAAAGATATTCAAAGCTAAATCAATTGTAATATAATAGAAGATATATCTCGAATCCATTAATAATGATATAGAATTATATATAAGTTCTGATTAATAAAATGTACATATGCCTGGAATTGAAAAAGCTTAATTCTATTCATATTTCTTTTCAATTAGCAGAGATGGTTTTCGATCAAACGGATAACATTCTTTTCGAACTTCTTAATCCTTTTATAATAGCATTTATTCAATGCAGATATATATATACTAGAATTTGCTCATACGAGAACCTCCTACGATGTTTCCTTCCGATTTCAATAATTTTTTTGCTTATAGATACTACTTAATATTCTAATGGAATACTTAGAAAGATTGAAGTTCCTATTCAGAATTAATCAAGCTAATGAATTGTTTTTTATGTGTTTATATGTCAAAAACTTCTGTAGAATGGATCTTAGGTTTTTGAAAACAGATTTATTTCGAAAATCAAAGGTCCTAGATGAGTCTTTGAGAAATAGACATATTCACAAAGCTGAAATCGAAATTGGACATTTCGGGAAGTTCTCTCATTTGTAAGAAATTGTACTTTTGGAAGAAGATTATCATGGAGAAAAAAAAAAATCATTATCAATATATGATAATTATTTCAT